TTATGTGGTAATATTTTTTAAGTAAGCCATATTAAAAAAATCCTGTTCAAATACGATTGTTTTTTTTTCGGTATTGGGTTGGCGGAAGGGGGAGGGGTTGGAGGAGGTTGGAGAAGCTTTTATTTGGCTTAGTGGAGAAGCTTTTATGTGGCCCGGATGACTCAAAAAAATGCTTATTTTGAAGAATCTTAACAGTAAGTAAGTTTTCTCCAAACATTTATTAAGTGACTTAAGTAATTTTAACACTAAGATTTCAATTTCGGAGAAACAAATTCTACCAAGCAGGTTGAACTTTTACAGGCTTTTAAATTTACAGGTAAATTAGTAAAAATAAATAAAAGTAAAGGTAAATTAGTAAAAATTGTAAAAAATGTTAAATTTAGAAAAATAATTTTGATTCCCCTGCATAGATAATAAGTTATAATATATAGAAGACTAAAAAACAGTTTTATAACTTATTTTTTTTTTAAACTCATACTTTGAGCTTTAAGTTATGTCTTTTGCTTCTCTGCTAAATAATAGACAGTCTCTACAACTCTTCTTGGAGAGAATTTTTTATTTTATTGTCTACTTTGCTGAATATTGGATGGCCTCTATCAACTCTTGTTGGAGAGAGTATTTCATTGTCTTTTACTACTTTCTATTTGACCTAAGATATAAAAAAATTTCTGTAGAAAAAAGTTTTGAAAGCAAGAAGTTGGCAGTTTTCTAAGAAAATGTTTTGATAACATCTTAAAAATTTCATGCTTTTCATGAAGGCTTGATTGGACAATTATTTGTACCTTCTCACCAAATTATTTTGCCATCTTTTATTTTAATGCAAAGACTGTATTTTTTTCTTTTTAACTTGTTAGTCAGAAACTTAAAGATTTTCTAGGCAATTAAGGGTGACAACTTTCCTGCAAAGTGCTCTGAAGACCGAATATGCTCAGTTTCAAATTCCCTGACCGCAATCACCTGTATTTTGACATACATCATGTCCCATCTAATTGAAAAATATCAGGACATCTCAGGACCACCCTTAAACACCCCTAATGAACATTCGAGCGATAATGAACACTTCTAAAGACTGAATATGCCCAGATTTAAATTTCCTGACAGCAGTTACCTACATTTAGATACATGTTCCATCTAATTTAAAAACCATCAAGAAACCCCATGACCACTCTTGACAACCTCTAAAATAACCACTCCAAAATTAAAATGGAGACCAGAGATGAATACATGTTTATAAAGATTTTTTGAGCCCCAAAAATCTTTATAAACATGTATCATATGTCTATGATAATGAAGAGTTATTTACATTCTAAGTATTTAATTTTTTTTTGTATGTACCAGTAGTCAAACGATAAACATTTTTAATCATTTCTAACTTTAAATATGAACAATCAATCACGGTTGCTGTTCCGAATCAGTTCCGGAACAGTTGCTGTTTCGGAACAGTTCCGGAACAGCAATCGCGGTTAAAAAAAATTAAAGGCCACGTCAATGTTGAAGAATGTTGGTTAAAGATATCTTATTATAATTATTTTGAGTATATCCAGATCTGAAGGGCTTTTTGTTTGCCGAATTCATTATTAATCTCAGTCAGAAATTAGAAAAACAAAAGCTTTAAAATGAAGACATTCGCCGAATAAGTGAGACAGTTAGATTTGAGATTGCATGCCTCAAATTGAATGCCTCAGAGATCACATGGCAGTGATCTCTGAGGCATTCAATTTGAGGAGGTTCTCAAGAAAAGCAAACAGAGAGTTCAATCCGGAATAGGCTTTCTTTCTTTTGTTATGCTTACTCATTTTTTTATCCGTAATCATGATATAAGTTTGAAAGTTTAGTTAGGCCTTAAACTTTGCTCATGACACGTGACCCAGGTGACGTTGTGATGATAGCAAGTATGGTTCTGTAAAAAAAAATATTTTCGAACATCTATTTTAAAAAATGCAGCAAAAAGAGAGTATTACAAGTACAAGTCGTAGTATTAACATAAAATATTTATATTTTGGATTTTCAAAGTTGGCTTAAATCACTAATGCGCTGCTGATATTTTCGAAAAAACAATATGCGCATATAGAGATTTAATAAAATGATGTTGATCAAGTTTATGGATACGAACTTTAGTTTAAGGAAAATGTTGAAATTTAGAAAACAACGTTTATTTTATGCTAATTTTTAATTATTTTATCTCTTTTTTTATTTATTTGAATTTCATGCTATATTTTGTTATACAATAATGCTCTTACATGCGAAAATATTGTTGGCTTAGCAGCAATATAAAACTAACGATTAATCCAAAGTAGCGTCCTTTATTTACCAACATTTTTGCAAACCGAAGTACTTCTCAAACGCATAGTTGGTGGTATCTGGAATTAAATTCGCATTTCACGACAGTCCGAGTTTTAACATTTCGTTTGACGCTATGACCTACTGAGCTATCCACCAATTAGTAAAAAGTAAACGTTTAAAATTAAAATCTTAGTTAGACAATAATAAAAAAATTGGTTTTATTTTAAATTATTCTCTATAAAAAACTCTATAATATAATACTTGTTTAAAATTTCAAATTATTATATACAAGAAACTCTGTAATATAATAATTGCTTAAAAATTTATACATATATGCATATGATTCTAAATTTATTCAAAAATTTAAAAATGTTGTTTTTATTGCAAGAAACTATGCATCAATTTTTAATCACTTTTGGATACGGTTATTGACTTTTTTTCCAAGCAAATATATGAAACCTTTATTTTTTTGAATAGCCTGGATACTGTGAAACTAATAATATTAACAATAATAAATAATCATACTATATTATTTATTTATAATAATTATCGCAATCGATATATGATTTTTTCATTCCAACCAGTTTTTTTTTTACAGCACTATGCTATGGAGTATTTTACGGAATTCTAGGAACTTAATAAAAATTTGAGCACGCGTGTTGAGCACGCGTATCATTTCTGGCGGAGAAAATCAAAAAATTCTAAAGCTTTAAGCAAAGAAAATGCATTATCTCTGATCATCAGGTATCAATATCAAAGATAGTTTTATCAAATTAAATGTTACATGATTTTAATATGGTGAAGTCTTTGAGAGTATATTTAAGCCTTCACAAAAATGAAAGAAGATAGCAAAATGTACTAACTGATTATGACATAATCAATTGGTAACCGGTAATTGCCGGCTCTGACTTTTCTTAGCAACCATAGTTTATTTAGAAACCATTGTCTGATTCCAACATTTTTAAAATTTTTTAATTATAGTATTAAAAATGTAACTCTGAAGATATTTTTTTTAGGGTATGTGTAACACTTCTTGGATCTCTTCTTGGAACACTTCTTGGATCTCTTGCTTTTAGAGCAAGCGCTCTAAGAACTGTTATGCAAACACTGTTATAGCACTGTTTAATAACCAAATATTATCTTAATAAACTGTTTAATAACCAAATATTATGTTAAAAAGATACAACTTACTAAGAAAAGTGAAACTAGTTTAAAAAGTAAAAAATTCAAAAGATATAACTTACTAAGAAAAGTAAAAGTTTGAATTTGTTTTCTAGATTTTCTGTACCAAATATCTCAGACTTATCAAAGTTAACAGTTTTTTATAAATTTGATTTTGACCCAATTTTTTAAATGCACTTTATTAATCTTGAACCATACTAGTTTTTAAATACTGAAACATTTTCAAATTAACTATTTCTATTTAGTAAAAAGTATATTAGCTGAAAACAATGACAAAATATAATGCTTAGTTAATATAAATTTTGGATGATAAAGAGTTGTCTGACATCAGGGCATCAGTTGATACATCAGGGATTGCAGCAGCTTATTTTGATGTCTGAGAAAGATAAATATCAGGCATGAAGCAAACTTTAGACTTGGGTATGTTTATGCTTATATCAAATAAGAATGCTTTGTAAAAAGTTGCTGTGATTGGAGTCTTGCAACCAGGGTTTGGCTCATACATATTTGTCTTTGTATTTTGTATTTGAACAAGATTTTTTTTAATTTTTGTTTTTGTAATTGATTAAATGTATTTATAGTTACATAAACTAGGTTGAATGGCATTTTTTTTTTTTTTGGGGGGGGGGGGGAATCTAGAGATTTTTTTTTTTTGCTGTTGTAAATAATCTTTTTATTTTAACACTAAAATAGTTTTGTAATTTGTTTTTATGTGAAATTTAAATAATCAAAACAAGACTTGTTTTAATTCTTCTGTTTAGTATACTATTTTAGCATTATTGTTTTGAAAAAAATCCTTGTCTTTTTTTTTAAGCTAAAATACAAATATTTCTATTTGTATTTGGAAAATGTTGACTATATTAATTTGTATTTAAGTTTCTATTTGAGAATCTAGAATTAATGTAACTTAGTGTTTGTTAACTTTTGTATTTGTAACTTTGTGTTTGCCCTTTCGAACCCAAAGGTGAATACTCATTTGATGTTTAAGGGGCTTGAGGGCCCCCTAAAAATTTTTTTTTTTTTTTTTTTTTGTAATTAAAAAAAAAAAATTTTTCATTCCAGTTTTATTTTATTATCTAAAACACATTTAGAGGGTGGGAGCAGACATTTTTAAAAAAGTTGTTTTTCAGGACACCCTTATATATATATATATATATATATATATATATATATATATATATATATATATATATATATATATATATATATATATATATATATATATATATATATATATATATATATATATATATATATGTATATATGTATATACATACATACATACATACATACATACATACATACATACATACATACATACATACATATTATATATAAATAAATATATATATATATATATATATATATATATATATATATATATATATATATATATATATATATATATATATATATATATATATATATAAAGGTTACTAATTTGAAGAATACGGGATTAGTAATTTACAGTTTATAAAATCAGAAAGTTTTAGTATTTAAAATTTAAAACTAGTACTATTTATTTTTATTTTTAGTAAAAAAGCAAACTATATTTGGAGTTGTATTCATTTTGGTAGGCTTGGTTGTAGTATTTGTATTTATCTATTTGCGATCACAAAAAAATACATTTGAACTTCACGTAAGAATGTTTGTTGATAATTTAATTAGGGCTTGTAACTAACTCTACTTAGACAGTTGTATTGAGTATTAGACAGAACATCAGATTGCATTTAATTGCTTTAGCTCTTAAATTTTTTTGAAAGTTGAAATTAAAATTACAAATGTAAGTAAGTGTATTTATTGCATGTATTTATGTCAGTGTAAGTACCAAACTCAACTTGTTTCTGTGCAGCGGTCTTGTACATCAAGGTTTGTGTTTCTGAATTAAAGAGTTAGAGAGGGTTGTAACCACATTAGCTGTTGTAGCCCTCTTGACCTTGGGGAGATAACATTAAAAAAAAAAAAAAAGCTTAAAATAATTCAAAAAAAAAAAATTAGCTGTTATAGTAAAGTAATTGTTTTAACAAGTATTTAAGTTTGATTGCCCAAATAAGCCTTAAATTTAAAGTAAAGACTTTTTTGATTTCATCCAGACACCCAGTCATATAGACACCCAGTCATCCAGACGCCCAGTCGTAGGAACCTTATGTGATTTTGAATTAATAAGAAACATTCAAGGGTAAATTAAAATTTTTTAAATCATATTTAAGTTAAATTTCACCAATGCGGTTAACATTTTTACAATAATTAATTGAATATAAATAAATGCAGCATAATCAATATCAAAAAACAATTTTAATATTCCAATGGATGAAAGTTTTTGATTAGTGTAAATTGTTTAATGTGTTGGTGAAATTGCCATTTTATTTGTAAAATGCGTACTGCATAACACTTCTTAAGAAGATCTAAATTTAAGTACCTATTCATCAGGCACAAAGTGTGTTTAAGGCATCCAAAATATGTAAAGCATACTGCTTTTAAAACATCATTCTCAGTAGGGCTCTTTTTAAATACATAATTATTTACATAAAATTTGTGAATGGTCAAAATTCAATTCAAATTTCAGGTATTACTTACAGATACCTTTAAAGTATTTTATGGTTTTGTATGATGTTAAAAAATGAAACAACCTAAATTAAAAATTTTATATTTTTAATTGTTATAAGTTCTTAGGTAACCATTATATTTTTATAGCTATTTTTTATTTATTTCAGGTAATTAAAATTTTTTTTTTTTTTAATAGGGTAGATTTGGAATAACAATAGATGCTGGAGGATCAGGGACCAGATTGTCAATTTATGAATACAAAAAAGGAAAACTACACAATGAAAATTTTATATGTGAAAGTAATTATTTTTTAAATTTATTTGTCAATTTTTTTTTAAAAGTGTTACGCTTTTTAAAATAAAAAAACAGCTGCTAGTTGTTTTGTGTGGCTTCATTCCCATTGCTAGATATCAATATTTCTATATATATCTTTTTAATTAAATAAAAATTTTTAGTATTTTTTATGCTGAAAAGGTCATTTCAAGTTCATTTGATTATTCCCAAATGAACAATATTTTTAATAAATTAAATCCATGATAAAATTTTTTAAATAATGTATTGATAAAGAGGGACCCCAGGTACTTCTTTGCTGACAAATATTGGACATATGATATGTTGATGCTTATTGTTAGTGCGTCAAATCAGCTTTTGAATCTGTGGTTGAAAAAATATTTTTTAGGCGAAGCTTGATGGCAGAGTGTTCTATGCTTTGACTATGCCGTTTATGAAAACTGATATCTTTCCTCACAGTTCTTCACTAATGCCTTAGTCTTAAGTTGTTACCATAAAAGGTTTTACTTGGAAAGCGTTTGCATGTAGACTTGATTTTCTTGACGTCACGTGCAATCTTGTATTGCTGAATCATTTATAAATTGTCTGTCTTCAAGTTTGGTTAGACCCAGGAGTCAAACATTGGCGCCCAGGGTTTGAGACATTGGTTCCTTCATTTAATAGATCTTAAGAATGGTTTGAGGGGCAGCGATGTCAGACACTTATTTCAACCTCTGGTTAGGCCTGGAATTGTAAGCTTTTTTCATATAATTTGTGCTTGATTTCTATGATCACCTTTATAACACATTCCAGAATGCTTTTGAGCACTTTGATGTTGTCCTTTAAATATGGATGCCATGCTTGGACGGTGAATTTAAGGTGTAGTGTATTGTAAGTTTTGTAAAGCACTTTCCAAAGTATGAGACCTCTGCTTTAAAATGAGTTCTTAAGCCAACCAAGCACCTGGTTTGCTCTTGGATCCACTGCTTTAACTTGATGTTTGACTATCAAGTCTTCTGATATCAGGACACCTAGATCATATTTGACTGAATTTTACCAGTACTTTTCTTATTCCCATTTATACAGTCATTGTGTAGACAAGCGCTGATTTGTTGAAGCAGCCTACATAAATTTATTTGCATTTGTCTAAGTTGAAGAGAATTATCCACTTTTTGAACCATTCAATTGCCTTGTCAATGTCTAGTTGAGGACATGCTTTGTTCTGCTCTGTTTTGATGATGTCTAGTTTTTTACTGTCATCAACATATATCTTGATGTAGTGAGCTATGTTGTCATGATGTAGTTGTTGTTGTCATATGGTAGGTCATTTGTGTAATTGATGAAGAGCAGGATTCCTAGCACTGATCCCGGATGATCAGTGTTAGAACTGCTTATCACCTCTTTTTCACTCAAATTCAGCTTTACTAACAATCACTCTTTGCTTTGGATAGCCAGCCAGTTTGCTATCTACCTGAGCAGTGAGCCACATATGTCATAAGCTTTTAGTTTGTTCAAAAGTCTTTTGTGCAGCACTTTGTCAAGGGTTTTTCCAAATTCAATGTATATTATGTCCCAGAAAATAGCCACAATATATTGGATCCGATCCCTTGCTTTCAATGCCTCCTATGTTCTATCTTCATATCTTGTTAGTAATAATCAGTGTAGCAGTAACACAAGAAAGTCAGTACTAAAGGTTTGGAAGAGAGTGTTGTAACAACTATAAAAATAAAAAAAATGAATACCAAAATAATAAGAAGAAGCTCCCTTAGCTATAGTGATTTGATGACAGTGATGCCTTTGATCTAAGAGTCTAAGGAAAACACATTCTATTTTGCAACCACACTCTATGCCACCATATTAATTACTGTTCTTTTACACATAAATTTTGTTGTTCACTAAGTTTTTAAGTTCACCTGATTTCAAGATTGTGGAAACATTGTTATATTGTTTTTAAGAACTTTATAGAATTTGGTCAGAGTATTTGGTCATTTATTTTACACTTTTATTGTGGACCAGAGAGCTAGCTAAATTTGATGCACCTAAAATTTATTTACTGATAATGAATTAAAGTAACAATATATATATATATATATATATATATATATATATATATATATATATATATATATATATATATATATATATATATATATATATACAGGCTTCGGCAGGAATGACGGGCTATAGCCCGTGTCCGTCTCCGCACCCGTCTAAGTCAGTTTAGACGGGCGAAATAAAGCCCGTCTGAAACATAAGTTTTGTGTAAAAAAAAATATGAAAATTTTGATGTTTTTTTATTAAGATACTCTTTTAAAACTTCTCTCATGACATAATTTTAATATGAATAGCAAACTCTAACTTATAATTGTTTATATTTAAATATAAAAATTAAACAATTTAATCATTATTGTATAACATGATGTAGAAAATAATATAACTAAATCTTACAGTTTTTTAAACGACGATAACTGTTTAATATAATACCAAACAGTTACCATATTATGTTCAAAATTTAATAACTATTATATTAAATAGGGAAATATACACATGTGATGCACAAGAAGTATCATGTTGTTTTGGTTTTTCAATGTTTATGATAATAACGATAAGAAACTAATTATCCATGTATTTCGCTTTTTTCCGATAAACTAGTTTGTCTTACTTTAAAGACATTTAAAGTGATATTTCCGCGTTAACTTCCGCGTTAACTTCATGTTTTTTCTTAAAGAGACGGCAGTTTATTTAATATGCAATTATATAACTCGTTATTGAAAATGAAATATCTCATTTAAAATCAACAAACGTCTAATCAATTTTTGTAGATAATATAAATAGTGTTGCTTTATAGTTATGAAGTTATTCAAGTTATCCAGTCATTCAAGTTTTTCAAGTTATTCAAGTTTTTCAGTAAAGATAGTTATGGCATCATCTGGTAGAAGAGTTACATTAGCAACATTTTTGAGTTGGGGTAAAGATGGAGTCTGCGGAAAAGAAACTGAGGTGGAGAATGGAACAATTTTTGTTGTAAAGATATGGTGTATGGTTTGTATAAAATATAAAAAAGAATTGCTTCGCGAGTTAAAAGGTTTAGCAAAATCAAAAGCATTAGCATTTATAGAGGGCACTACGAACGTTAAAGCTAGCAACATACATACGCTTATATACATGCTTATATTGTATATAAAGTAACGGAAGCCCCGGTATCTTAAGAAATTATTAGTACTTCTAAATAAAAACTTATTTTATTAAAAGAAATTAGATTTCAAATTTTTTATTCACGTATCAGAATAACTATTTCCGATCAGGATAGGCATAGGTAAAGCAAAGTTATAAAAATATAAATAACAGTTTAAGTTTTTAATTTGCACACCCAATAGAATGCAAGAGTATATAAATAATTGAATTTGAAAAATAACATAGTTACGTATCATATTACCAAGCTAATACCAAACAATTCTAAAACTATCGAGCTCATTGATAGCTCATTGAAATTAACAAATTTAAAAAAAAAAAGTTCAAACTTTAGAACTTTTTTTAAAGTTTAAAAAAGCCCGTGCCAGACCATCTAGACGGGCGGCCCTCATAGCCCGCCATGTCTATTTAAGACGGGCTTTTCATAGCCCGTACGGTTTTTATTCCTGCCGAAGCCTGTATATATATATATATATATATATATATATATATATATATATATATATACATATATATATATATATATATATATATATATATATATATATATATATATATATATATATATATATATATATATATATATATATATATGAATATATATATATATATATATATATATATATATATATATATATATATATATATATATATATATATATATATTATATATATATATATATATATATATATATATATATATATATGTATATGTATATATATGTATGTATATGTATATATATATGTATATATATATATATATATATATATATATATATATATATATATATATATATATATATATATATATATATATATATATATATATATATATATATATATATATATATATATATACAAACTCTTGGTTGATATCGTTAATAATGTTTCATAAAAGGCTAAGTACGCAAAGATATTAAAAAAAAAATGTTATTTAAACTTTTAAATAGTTTTATTAAATTTTTAAAGACAACTATTCAGTGGTGAGAAATTTTTTTACAGTTTTTTTACTATTGTTGTTGTTACTTTATTTATTGTTTATTTGCAAGCATGCAAGTTGTTACACAAAAAAGTAACATTTTTTACAGTTTAAAAATCAGAAAAAAACTTTTTTTGTCTTTAATTTAATTTTGTTTTTAAACTTAATTTCACTTCTTTCACTTGGCAGATAAGGGTTTGACAAATTCTCAGTTGCTATCACTATATGACAATATTCATAAATGTTTGGTTGAAGCTGAGAAAAGAATACCACTTTTAATAAACAGTAAAACTCCTATATATTTTGCAGCTACTGCTGGAATGCGATTGCTCAAGTAAGTTTTTTTTGTCACAAAATTTTTTTTAAATTAAAACCTTAAACAGTGTAAAATGCTAAATTTCAAAAATTGTGGCAGTGTAGTGATAAAATGCTTGATTTATAAGTGCAAAGAGTTGATCTTTGGTGTTTACTAATGGGAGCATAGTGGAGCAAATGACAGCTGTCTTGTTTGTTATGTTTGTGTTTTAGAGTTTCTTTTCTATTTCTATTTTTTTATGTTTTTTGCATCTACTCTGTGACTTAGTAATATTAAATATTTTTTGCAACTGTTTTTTGTCTCTATAATTATAAATAGATTTTTTTCTGCAGAGTGGATGTTTTTAAGTTTGAGATTTTTTTAATATTTTGTTATCAGATAGCTGATATTGCTATAATTTTTTTAAATAAGAAAGATGCATTATTTAATAGGATTTACCATGTTTCAAAACAGCATCACATGTGTGCAGAAGCATCATTCAGTATGCAGCAGCACTTGAATCACACAATTGACATGTTGTGCATTATAGTTAGTTACTGTTCAGAATCATCATTAATGTAGAAATATTTAAAATATAAATAATAACGAAATTTAAATTTTATCTGTTAATTAGCTGTAAATTAAAATTTCCTAAAGTTATAAATAGAAAGTTAAATCTACCTTAGCCAATGTATCTTCATTAACATGTGCCTAAATGGTTCATAAATATATAAAAAATGTTGTAAACTTTTGTAATTAAATACAATATCTTTTTTTATAGATACTGTAAATTGAGTAAAAACTTTTATTTTTTTATTATTTACTTTTTAACTCTAATTTTTTAAACTTTCTTTACAAATTATGAGCTGTAGGACTGCTAAGGTTCAAAAAACATGTTCAAAGCCAGGTCTACAACCAAGGCTTTTTTTTGATCAAAATATTGTGTGTGTGTGTATATATATATATATATATATATATATATATATATATATATATATATATATATATATATATATATATATATAATATATATATATATATATATATATATATATATATATATATATACTTATATATATATATATACATATATATATTTATATATGTATATATATAGGTTGATCCATTGCTTAACATTCACATCACTCCAGCTTCTTTATCTAAAGCGATTTCCTGCTCAGACTTTTTTACAACTTATGGACTGGACATTATATCTGTTATAGACTTGCAGAATTGTTCTCTAGAGCTGTTGTCTATATTTACAAAACTATTTAACAAGTCCTTATCAGAGTCTTGTTTTCCAACCTGCTGGAAAGTGGCATCTGTTATCCCTATTTTCAAAAGTTCTAAAGAGTTATGGCAGTTATGGCTTCTAAAGGCAGTTACCTGCCTAACTACTGTCCCATTAGTCTTCTTACTATCATAACCAAGGTTTTTAAGTCTTTAATTAACAAACAGGTAATCTCTCATCTTGAATATAAAAACTTACTTTCTGATCATCAATATAGATTTTGATCTTCAAGTTCTACTGCTGATTTGTTAATGGTAATAACCGATAGATTCTATTGTAAATTAGAAAGATGTGGAGAGGTTAAGGCCATTGCTCTCATTAAGGTCATTGTTCTCATTGCAACATTTGTAAATCCTTTGATAAAGTTTGACCTGCTGGTCTTTTCTACAAACTCTCTTCTTACAGTGTATCAGGTAACATCTTTAAGATTATTGAATTTATCCTTTTTTTTTATTTTTTTTTTATTTGCATTCACTCCCAACAAGGCTGCAAGCAACCACTATTAAGTTGGGAGTTACTAGGAAAAAAAGAACAGAGTTATAGAGCAAGGAAACGCTTGACAGAAGACTTGAAAAGTTGAAGGTTGTATGAGTCAGGAAAACATGAATATGAGAGAGAGTTCCAAAGGATTTAGGTGCGGGGAAAAAAACTAGATGAATAAAAGTTTTTAGAGCATGCTGGGACAGATACAGTAAACGAATGAGACTTAGCTGAATGACGAGTAAAACGAGAATGAATTTTAGTTGATGGAGCTAGAGATGATAACTCCTGAACAGTGACCATGATAATATTTGTAGAAAAGAGAAAGAGATGCAACCTTATGACGATGGGAAAAGGGTTCAAGCTTAGCAGATAGTCCAGGTCCAACAACATTTACAATGTGTTTTTGGACCTTGTCAAGAAGAGAAAGTGAATTGTTAGAAGAACCAGCCCAAATATGGCAACAGTATTCCATACAGGGACGAATAAGAGATTTGTAGAGGTAGAGAATGGAATCAGAAGTAAGGAAATGGCGAGCACGATAAAGAGAAGCAACCTTAGCAGAAGCTAATTTAGCAATCGATTGTATATATGGTTTCCATGAAAGGTCAGTAGTAAGCGATAATCCAAGAAGACGTAAAGAGGAGGACTCAGTAAGAGGATTGCCATTTATTTATATAGGAATGCTGACCATATTACGGTAGTTGTTTGCAGTTAACAACTGGGTTTTGTTAGAGTTGAAATTCACAAGCCACTGTGAATCCCAATCTATTACTGAAGTGAGATCGGATTCAAGATCAGCTGCTTGTTCTAGGCGATCAAAAAGAGAAGACTTTTTGTCAAGACAGGAGTATAAAGTTGAGTCATCAGCAAAAAGACCTACTTTAGATGAAAGGTTGTCAGAAAGATTGTTTATGTAGATAAGAAACAAAACAGGGCCCAGGACGGAACCTTGGGGAACCCCAGAAGTTACTGGAAATAAAGAAGAGTGTTGGCCTTCAAGGATGACTTTAATAAACCGGTTAGAAAGAAATGATTTGATAATCTCAAAAACTTTCCCAGAAACACCATATGAAGCAAGCTTATGGAGAAGACCAGCATGCCAAACTTTGTCGAAAGCTTTAGATATGTCCTTACCAATTGTAGCATAAAAATGGTCATTGATGGACAGCACTCTTCTTCATTTCCTGTAACTTCAGGGGTTCCTCGAGATTCTATCCTTGGTCCTATACTCTTTTTAATTTACATTAATGATCTTCCTGAAATTCTCACATTTTAGGTGGCATTGTTGGCTGATAATACTACCATTTATTTTTGTCTTGATAAGAAGCCAATATCCTCTGATTACCTTTATTGATTGCATATGAGCTTGAATAGGATCTTACTTCTGCTACAGCATGGAGCTTTTAGTGATTGGTGAATTTTAACTCAGATTAAACTCAGATAAAAAATTTTCAGCTTATTGTAAAAGGTATTGCAACAATCTAGATATTTCTATATTTATGAATGTTAATGTACTCAATGAGTCATCTAACCCTTATCTTCTTGGATTAAGTCTTACTTCCAAGTCATTCTTGGAAACCATATTTCAAATCCATTGCAAAATTAGAATCTGCTAAGGTTGCATCTCTTCATCATGCTTGCCTCTTTCTCAGTCCAGATTTTATTCTTTCATCTCTATAAATCTATAAAATGTACTTTTATGGAATACTGTTGCCATATCTGGAGCATCTTTGAATGATACCCTTTCTCTTTTAGACAAGGTAAAAAAATTCATTGTAAACATAATTGGACCTGCTCTTGCAGCCACTGTCAAATCATTGTAATGTTGTTTCTCTTTCTCTTTTCTATAAAAACTATAATGGGTGCTGCTTTAAAGAGCTAGCGTCTCTTGTGCCATTTACTAAAATTCCTGCTCATGTTACTTGTCATTTTATTTAGTCTCATCCTTTTAATGTGACTGTTTCTGAGTGCTCCAAAAAAAAATTTTGTTTAGTTTCCTTAAACATCAGTTCTTTGGAATATGCTCCCTTCATCTTGTTATCCTTATTCATATAATTTGAAATCTTTTAAGTCATCTGTTAATTGTTATCTTGTTTATAAACTTCATCTTTTCTCTTCCAGTAACTTTCAACTCTAATAGTGATTGCTTGCAGCTTTTTTGCATGTGAAGATTTAAAAAATATATATAAAGAGGTAGATATGTTATGTAAAATTAAAATCACTCAACAATGTTCTAATGTTATATCAGAGTCTTTTAAGTTTAATACCCATAAGTTTAAGTTTCCAATAAACATCCATTAAACACCCATAAACTTATATAAAAAACCTAATGACAAACTTCTATGCTTTCATTTATTATATATTCATTTATTATTATACACATTATATACAACCCCTGGAATTAGGAAAAATGAGGTTGGCAATAATTTGCTGACCTCAATCTTTTTGAGGTTGGCATCAGGTTGGCAAAAATTATTTGATACAAAGGTCTAACCATAAAACATAGAAATGAGGGCGGCAATTTTTTGCCAACCTCAAACACTTTCAGGTCGGCATTGCCGAATGCCGAACCTAATTCCGAGGGTTGTTTATTTATACATGTATTTTTTTAAATAAACTTTTAAACAGTTGTTAATTATTAAAGTATATAAAACTATTCCATATGTATTAACAAAAACAAGTTATTAATGATATTAAAGAATTTCCATCCCAAAATGATCTTAAATAGAAGTCTTATCTGTAACTTCTGTTTTTTGATACTCTTGGAGTTGTGAACCAAGCATGGTTTTCTTAAGTTGTTTTCTATTTGGTTTCTAGTAAAATGTTTAATTCTTACATTACACCAAGATCACAAAAGTATTTTTTATAGTTTAACAACCACATTGTTTTGTTTTTTAGGTTTCTATTTTTATTGTTTTTTGTTTTTTATTTCCAAAAAAGTATTTTAGTTGTCATATTAAAATAATCTTATTAAACAAATAAGTATTTATTAAAATTAGTTATTAAAAATAAATAGAAGTCTTTTCAAACAAATTAAACATTGAGGCAATTAAATTCTATTAATCAAAATAAAAAGTCTTTTAAATCAATTTCTTCAGTTTCATTTCATTTCAGTTTCTTTGTCAGAAATATTGTGTTTATCTTTTGACAAAAAACAATCATTTTTAAGTAGAAAAAAAAAAAAAAAGATAGCACTATCTGTTAAAATATTTAACTTTTAATCTTAAACAAAATAATGATGTATTTTTCTTTTCATAGTTAACCTATAGAATATACAGCCTATAAAAGAAACTAATGTTAAAAATCATCAGTATATTTTTAATTTTTTTTTTTTTTTTTTTGCCTGTGCTTTTAGTTTTTTTTTAGATAAATGTCTTTTTATTATGTTTATTATGTTTTTTATTTATTTTTTGTTTACTGCAAAAGTTTTTTTTCATTTTGTTCATTGTTGCTGTAAAAGCTTTTTTTTTTCATTTTAGAATAAGCAATGAAACCGCCTACCAGAATATTTGGAATATTGTGAGACATGCTCTTAATAATTCTTCTTTTATTGTAAAGTTAAATGAGACGCTGTTGGGGTCAAAAGAAGCAGCTTATTCTTGGGCATCTGTTAACTCATTATTAGATAGAGAGGTAAATGGTTGCAAGTGTCTGTAAAACAATTTTAGTGAAAATATGTAAAAAAATGTGTGTTAAATTTTACATGTTCGTTATTTTTGAAATTCAAATGATTTTTGAAGCTTGCTAAAGATATGTAGCATTTGAGTAAGCAGAATATTCTAAACCTGTTTCTGGTAAACAATGGCATGCATATTGTGCTATTGCTCTCCTAGCTTCAATGCTTTTTTTTACTAGCTTTACTTACTACATTTCTTGTTCTGACTCCTAATACAGCTCCTTTGGTTTTAAGTGACTTCAACATAAATGTCTCTTGCTTTGGTTCCAGCCATAGGTTCATTGTTTTTAGAAAAAGTTATAACATTAATGTCACTTGTTTTTGTTCCTTTCTTTGGTAAACATTTCTTCTGGCTAAGTATGGCTCTAGCACTGGGTCCTTTGTTTTAGTACTTTCCACAGCTCTTTAACACTAAGAAGCAATAACCATATAAACAATAAGTTTTCAATTACAATGGTTTATTTAACAGCTAAATAATAATTTAAGTATGGTGTCCGCTGGTAATATGAATCTTGTTAACTTTATATTTGCAAGTAAGAATATCCATGATAACTTACCAACTTGTCAAAGTCCAATACATGCAGATAGTGATAAAGATTAAAGTTGAACTTATTATGAACTTTTTTTCAACATACAGAAATTTTGACAGATTACAACTTTTTTTTTTATAAACTATTTCAGCAGATCTTTAAATTAAGTTTCAAACATGCAACTCTAAAAATTAAGCCTTATTTTTTTATTTTTTTATTTATTCTTAATTTTTAGATACTAGAAAATCGAGATCAAGGTTTTTATTTAATCATTTTAATAAAAGATAAAATAATAATAAAAAATAATAATAGTAAGGATTGTTTTTTAAAACATAACTTGGATCACCAGATTCAATGTTCTTTTAAAATATTCTATTAGTGATAAAAAATATCATTGATCATTTTTAAAAGGCTTTCATTTTTAAAAATATTTGCTTAAATTTTAACATATTTAGCATAATTAACATATTTAGGACTAATTTAGTGTTATGTTTTTAATGTCGTCAGGGTTAGGGTTAGGGTCAGGGTTACCCTAACCCTAACCCTAGGGTTGAGCCTAACCCCAACTTTTATGTTATAAAAATAAAGTTATGGTTGATTGAATTTATATTGTTAAATCATCCCTTGATTTTATAGAAATCTTCTGGATTGTTTGAAATGGGGAGCACTTCAGTTCAACTTGCTTTTGAGCCTCGAAGTAGTGAAACTTTTTTACCTTCTTCACACATAGAAAATGTTATTCTGAAAAAAAAATCATATAATCTTTATGTGTATTCATTCTTGTGCTTTGGTAAAGATGAATTTAGACGCAGATATATTGCTAGAATTATTAAGGTAATTGGTTTATTTTATGGAATTTTAAATTTTTTTTCTTTTTCTTCTTATTTCAGGTTTGAATCTATTAAAATATTACGGGAAATAATAGATTGTCAATCTTTAAAAAAGTTATAAAAAGGTTGACAAATTTAAAAGTTTTTTTGTTGTTTACATTTTGTTAAAACATTTAGTTACTGTATATTTAAATAAAATTGATATGGTAGTGATGCAGTTAATGTCTGGGGCCCTGGCCCCAGCCTAAAATGAAACTTTTTGCAAACCCGGCCCTGGTAAAATTATAAAATTTAGCAAAGGTTGATAGCCGGGGCTAGAAAAAAAGTTTTAATTCTTTATATATTATAATTTTATGCCTATATTTACTATTTATTAAATACTGGCATATATTTATATATTTTTAAACTCTAATTTACTTCTAACAAGGTTGCAAACAACCATTATTAAGTTATGAGTTACTTTTAAATAGAGGATAGTTTAAAAAGCTAGAAAACAGTAAACTGAAGACTTTAAAAATTGTAGGTTTTATAAAAAAAGAAAACATGAAGATGGGTAAGAGTTATAAAGTTTTTTGATGTTCAAGGATAAAAACTGGATTAATAAAAGTTTTTATAGCATAAAAGGACAGATACAGTAAAAAGATGCAACTTGTTGAATAAGAAGCCAAGCAAGAATGAGTTTTGGTTTATCATAATAGAGATGATATGCTTGTTTGAGCATTGACCATGATTAGAGAAACAGCAAAAAAATATTTTATTTCATTTTCCAAAGAAAGATAATTGTTTACAGAAACTGTGTTTTGCTTTGCGAAACAAAAGATAATGACCTAACAATAAAAAAAGGTTTTGAAGTGGGGGGGGGGATCTCTTGGGCCCCTCCCCTCATGTCGTTGGCCCTGAGTTATAAAATTCATCTCAGAAATTTAATATAAAGTTAAATTATTTTTTTTAAAAAAAAAATGTTTTGAAATAAAAGATTATAAAAGTTTTTTTTTGTAACCTTTCATTTTTAAATTATAGAATTAGACTTGAATTTTATTCATGCTTAATTTATACTTCATATATCAATGAGATTAGTTTCAGGAATAATCATGTATGAAGACTTGTGGCAAAAGATGTGCTTGTTTTGCTCTTTCACCTTCACAACTTCAACTAATTAAATTTAAAAAAATAACAGTGCAAAATTATCTGAAAAAAATTTGTATAAATCTAAAAATGACTGAAATTGCACTATATGTCTTGAATAGATAAGGTGTACAATACAAGTAATAAGATTTGTAACTGTGCCAATTTTTTTTTAGACCTTTTATGTAGTGCATATATAGAAGTTATATATGGACCATTATATCTTCAAAATATTTGTGATGTCATTAATTCTACTGGAAACTTTATTATTATCAACTAATTTTGGTTGAATTATAATTAGTAGTAAAATTTAATAGGGTTGACCTGATCATGTGAAGTTAAACTTGTGTAATAACATATGGTATTTTGTGGTATGAAACTTGGTAAACAGGGATAACACCTGGTGGTACAAATATTATCTGATGAATAAAAAAGCTATTTATTCTATGATCAAAGAGTAATAGACAAAATGTAGCTGAAACTTCAAATAAGTCATTCATTCATCATCAAGATTCATTCTTTGAATTATACTATTAATACGTATACTTACCATTAATAGCCCTGTTGTTCCTAGTGGCTTTAAGGAGGTGAATACAAGTTTTGAAAAATCTAAACAGCATACTGCCACTAAAAATATTTAACGTAATTTTAAATTTGAATTAAGGTTTAGTAAATTTTATAAGAAGTATAAGATGTTTTCAATGAATGTCATAATATTGATATCTTGTTAGTATTGTATAATATCAATATTAATATCATTAAATATTTATATTTTATGTTATTAATATTAGTTAAAAAAAATTTTTTTCCTCTATGCTGAGAAGGCCACTACAGTTGAGGAAGCTAATTTAATTGTGATATAATTGTAATACAACTCTCTTTCAACTCTATAACTCAAAAATATAAACCTGGACAAGCAAAACCCCTGCGTGGAGAAACAAGTGTGATATTGTCTCAAATGTTGTTGTTTATTTTTTGTAGTAGTTAAAAATACATAATTTTTCTTTTGTGGTATAACACATGTTATAATATAAATATCTGAAGGAAACACTATATGTTTTATATTTAATGATTTATTCAACTTTTAATAAGGCCTTCTTAATCTCCATCAAACAATAAAATGTGATAATCTAAACCAAGATCAGGTTTAGGTTATCACATTTTGTTGTTTAAATTTATCATCACATTTAATTATATTATTTACCTTATTTGACTCCAGTATGAAAGTTAAAAAGTTAATAGTTTGCACAGTTCTCATCATTAAAGTAATCTATCTTGAACCACAAAAAACCTGGACTCGCTTCTTATGATGTCACCAGTAGTCCTGTATATTTTGTTCTTATGAATTGTTACCTGAATATTTATAAAATCAAAAAAATTTTAATTATGCATGTTTTTCCTATGATGTGAACTAATGTTAGAGTAAAATTATTTGTTATCTACATTAGCAAAATAAAAACAAAAGTTAATTTAAAAAAAAAAAGACTTTTTTTGATCTTATTGTGAAAATAAATATATATCATTATTTTGATCCAAGTTTTTACATATTTTAGTTTTTTTTTTTTTTTAAACAACATTTAGAAATCTGGTTATTCAAGTAATGTGAAAGATCCATGTCATCCATTAGGTTATAAAAAAGTTATAGCATCTAATGAAATATGGAATTCGACTTGTGTTAATGGATTATATGCTCAGAGAGTTCTTGGAGAAAGTTTTGTAAAAAAAAACGGTATGTGTTTCTATGCTGCTCAGTTTTATTTGTTCGTTATTATTATTTCTATACGATGTTATTTATAATTATGTTATTTTTATAGCCTAATTAGAAATAACTTTTTTTTATAATTTTTATTAATGAATATTGTTATAATATAACTTAAATGATTTAGTTTGTATTTGTCTCAATCAGAAAAAACACTTTAATTAGACAAAAATTTGTTTTAAGGTAATCATTTCTATGTCTTGCATGGAAGTAGCAATTTCACTGATTGTTTCAATGAAGTCAAGAATATGTTTTATGCCAATTGTTCTGACAAGTATTGTGATATGAGCAATGTACACCACCCTGCAAGTGATGCTTTCTTTACGGTAGACATTTATATATGGGAAACAGATTCTGAAATTGCCTCCAATCAGAGTTTTTGATTCGTTGATTTGATGATTACAATTTTTTAATTTTAAATTTTGATTTTAGTTGTAAATGGTTTAGTATTATCCAGGTATATAGTTTTACAAAGTGAAGTTATATTTTAAGTATCCAATAGTAAATAAAAATTAAGGGGAACAAAAATCAACTCCTAATTTGTTTTTTTAATGAGATTCAGTGTGAATATTTTTGGCATTTATGTATATATATACATAAATGCCAAAAGTATATATATTGTTAGCAAGCAACCTTTAGCATTTCAAAATAATGGTGACAACGCTTGTAAATAGTAGTATTTTTCATACATACAATGTTCTTTTGTATTACTTGCAAATAATCAATAAGAAATTGGGACGTCAAATTAGCATTAGTATTGTTAAATAGATAGAGGTGAAGAGAGATTGGAGAGCATTGTGCTCCTAGATCCTACTTTACAACATTTATCTACAAAAGGTTGCTGTATATATAAAAACAAATATTTACTTGCGTGTATATATGCATGTATATATGCAAGTAAACTTGAAATATGATTTTTAACCAATATAAAGTAAAAGATAGTCAAACCAATAAAAAACAAAAGTAAATCTTTTTTTCTCAAAATATTTATTATTAAAAATATTTTTTTATTTCCAAAAAATACACAACAGCAAAAATGGAATTTATTACCTTAAATATTTGGCATGCAAAAAACAAACCACTTATAACTGCTAAAACTAATAATTTAAGATTACAAATAAACAGACATGTTTTTAATTGCAGAACTAATAGATTTGATAACCATGTTTATACCGGTCAACGTTCCCACCAAAGTATAATTGAACCTTTTTTCCAACTTTTTGTCTTCCTTGAGCTTAACAATGAAAGTTTTTTGTTATCATATGAAAAGTATCTTCACAAACAAAGACATAATACTTTTAATTGATACTTCCTGTGTATTATTAGAATTTAATCCATCACAAGTTACTCATAGCAACAATATGCAATTTAAATTATTTTTGTTTTTAATACAAAAAATTTGAAACAATACCAAATCAACACTGGTGATTTTTTAATAATAAAATTTAATATTAATAATATTTGCTCAAAAATTAAAAAGATTTACTTTTGTTTACTGGTTTGACAATCTTTTACTTGAATGTGATAAAAATTAAAAATGAAATAAAAATAAAAAAATATATATTCGGGGTAAAAAATATATATTAAAAAATATATATTCGGGGTGTCTCAAGACCCTTGAACATTTAATGGGTCCCTAATATTAATATTAATGAAAAAAGTTTTTCAAAAGTATGTCTTTTTGGGTGTGAAATGAAGCAAAATTATATAAAAATTTGAAAAATGATAAATTTTTCATTCAAAAAACTTTTAAATCCAGCGTTATTTTATCATATAGAACACATTAAAATGTATGCTGCAAATATTTTTGAAAATTGCAAAAAATTTTTGAAAACCTTTCCTTCTTGCAGAATTAATCTCTAAGAAAGTTGCAATCAGTAATGATTATGCAATCGGTAATGATTGTGCAATCAGTAATGATTGTGCAAATAGAACTTTACAAAATGTTAATAATTGTCTAGAGGGAATTATTGTGTTAGAGTTATTGCAATCATGAAAATAATACTTTTTGATTACTCCCTAAAAACCCAAGCAAATATTTTTTGAACCCATTTCCATGCCCCCAAAATTATGGGGCCCTAGGCTGCACCATAGTTTGCTTATAGGTAAATCCAGTCCTGCATATATACACATAATTACCATGTAAAAACATTCTAAAGCAATAAAATATAAGTAGAATTTTATGTGATATTATGAATATGTAAGAGTTTTTTTTTCTTTTTTAAAAAACAATTGGCTTGAAATCATGGTAAAGTGTCACAATGTAACCAACAACAAATCTTTCCCAACAAGTTAACTGTGCATGAAATGTCACTGATGACTCTGAAACAGCCATCTACAGGGAATCAGTATATACATGAACTAAGGGTTTGGGCAGGTAGAATTTTTATACTACACCAAAAATGTATTATTTTTTTAATTATTTTATTTCTTTAATTATTCTCAATTAAACTTGGTATTCTCAATTAAACTTGGTATTTTAAATTTAAAATGAAAAGTGAAAGTGAGCAAAATATAAAATATAAAGAACATTGTTAACCTAAAAAAACAGATGTTAATATATATGTGCGTATATACAAATATCTTTGCACACTTAGTCTAGTATAAAATGTCATTGATGATGTCATACTGAAATAAAAAGTTGCAAGAGCCTCAGTACATAAATTGATTGAGGATTTGGGTTTGGGCTGGTATTATTTATATGCAAAAAACTTTTATTACAGCATCAAAAACTTTTTTTATTTCATTCACCATTTTTAAACTTTAAGTGTGCCAATCTAAATACACAAGGATTTCAATGAAAAACTTATTTGCATAATTAGGTGAACAGTCTGACATCATGCTGAAGTAGCCTTTTATCAGAGGCCTCAATATACATAGACCGAAAAATACATAAAACAAGCAAGGGAGTGCCACTGCATCAACAATGCAAAAACAAAAAGGTGCAACTTAATAGACTGAATGTTTTTTTATTTTTTCAATAAAAATTAAAATATTCTGTTTTTATTTTTTTACTGTATACAGTCATGATCAAAAGTTTGGAACATTGCATAAAAAAACACAATTTTCATTAAATTGTTCATTTATTTCATCAAAATATATTAGTAACAATGACAATTGACAAAAATAATATCTTTGAAACATTAGGAAATGTTTTATGAATTTAATACTTGAGGCTAATACTTAGTATGATGTCCTTTAGCATTCAAACAATTAGCTAAGTGGTAGGAGTAGAGTGAATGAGCTTTCTTAGATATCCAGAAGTCATAAGTTAAGTTTATACCTGCCTAATCTTTTTGGTAAATCATCTGAAAATGAGGGATTAGTTTCTAAACTTTGCTTTTAAGATGATTCCAGCAGTTTTCAATGGGGTTGAGGTAGGGTTACCAGGCCAGGGGCCAATGATCTCAACCCCGTTGTCATGTAACCAACTGCTTACAAGCTTAACCATGTGACAGGGTGCTCTGTTATGCTGAAACTTGTAGGTATTTGTGATGTTCATGAATTTTTTAAGTTTTTTTTTAAGTATTTCAAGAAAAATATGGCTGTTTATTGTGGTGTTAGGAGACAAAAACCATAAACTACAACTTTGATTTGCTGTAATGACACCTTATGTCATGATTTTAGGGCAATGTTTTATAGTACAAAGAAAATATTGGGGGTTGTATCATTGGCAAGGCAGGCGTCTAACGCTTGTAGAACGACAACCAAATTGTTCAATGGTATTGCACCTAGTGTTGTAACTAATTGTCACAAAACTAGGTACAATACCAGTTGGAAATATCTCAGATAAAATTTTATAAGCGCTGGCAAACAGATGTGCTTTTTCATAACGATGAATGCAATCATCTGCTCTTTGAGTAGTCACTTTTGGTTGCTCATTTATATAGTATATATGTTACTGTTACCCGCAGTACCAAGAATTAGCTAATGCTTTTTATAATATAATTTAATATTGCAACTCTGAGTTTCATGTGTTACCACATATTTGTATATTGGATCATTACAGAAATTGATTAGTAGTTAGGTTAATAATATTATTAATTTATTTTTAGTTAACTAATAGCAAATTTGCTATTATTTCGTATCCAAAACCTGAGGAACTGCTAAATAAAAGAACCGAAATTATATCAAAGTGATGCCATGAAAATAAATTCTTATTAAAAAATTAAAAAGTTTGCTACAAACCTAACTAACAATTAAAAATAGCTATATTAATCTACTCTATATATTTCTAGGCTAACTAATAAATTACTCACATACACAGCTATTGTATTATATTTCATAATATTATATATATATATTTTTATATCAATTTAATTTTTATTTTTTTAAATATTTTTTTAATATATAAATAATGCACATTATCACATAAACAAATATTTTAAACAACATTAAACATATAACTTTTTCAGAAAGTTGTGAATAAGTTGTGTTTATATATTTATATATTTCACAAGGTTGTGTAATAGTTCTACTAGCTAACTAAAAACAAATTATTAATATTATTAACCTAACTACTCAATTTCTGTCCTGTAGCAATCCAAAATACAAATATAAACCATAACGCCCACTAAACAAATCTAGCAAATTAAACTTTTGCTACTTGTCTAATGAATGTGGAAACACATGAAACTCAGAGTTGCAATATTAAATTATACTATAAACATTAGGATTTAGCTAATTCCTGGTACTGGGGGTAACAGTAACATATATACTATATATCTCTAGTTTATCTACTGAGTAGTCTTTTAAGTATACAATATATATACACGATAATATAAAGATATTTTCTTTTTCATATATATACACTTACATTTATATATATTTAAATTACATAATAGTAAAAAAATAAACATAAAAAATATTTAAATAAATAATAGCATTATTAAAAAAAGTCAATTTCATTCAAATAATTATGAGTAGTTGTGTATATATATATACACACACACACACACACACACACACACACACACACACTCACACACACACATGCTCCCTACTTTTGTGGAAAAAATTTCTTGCAGGTAAAAAATGAACAACTCTGTCAAAAGATCACTTTTTATCATTTTCAAAAAAAGTGCTGAATTTTATAAAAGGAACAAGTATTAAAAAAATCAGGTTTTCCGTGTAGAATGTAATCAGTCTAGAACTTTTCCTCATTATAAATAAACCTTATAATTACTTGCATTAATTAAAGTACTCTTAATAGCGTTAAATGTATTATTTTATTATAATTTAATCCTGTAATAAATAACATTACTCCAATAATATTGAAAAATTCCAAATTTTGTTTTAGGCTATTGGTGGTGGTGTTTATTTTTCTTCAAAATATTTGAATTTATCAAACCCTGTTCGCATACAAGCATACAAGAATGCTACGGAAAATCTATGTTCATTAAATTATACTCAGGTTATTTCTTTATTGTGATACTATGATTTAATGTGAAACTAGAAAAAGTATTTTAAAAAGCAAGAAGCTATCAATATTTATTTCAAACTTAATAATAGTTGTTATACATCAATATATATATATATATATATATATATATATATATATATATATATATATATATATATATATATATATATATATATATATATATATATATATATATATATATATATATATATATATATATATATATATATATATATATATATATATATATATATATAGTTTTAGGTTTAAAATTTTATGCATTTTACAGCTTAGCTCAAATAAAGAATTCAATAACTACACCATAGATTACTGCTTAGTAGACGTTTTTACATACTTTATTTTTCATGAACTTCTAAAACTCGATGATTCCAATAAAGTCATGTTTGCTAATAAAGTAAGTTCATTTTATTATAATCTAATCTCTTTTTTTTTTTTTATTACACTTAGTATATTTTATTTATTTATTTTTTATATATTTTTGTATTATATATAATTTTTCTTTTTATCATTTTTCTAACAAATGAAATGAAATTTAATAAATTCTTTGAATAGTTGTTAAAGAAGTTTAAGCAGAACAAAGTTTAAAATGGTTAAAAATGGTTTATAAATAAAATAAGATAAAACATTTTATTGATTGTTTAAAATTACTTTTCTTAAAACAATATATCGTAATTTGCTGGGTTTATTACTTTCAATAAAACATTTGGCAGGAATGTTGAGGATTTTATCATTTCAAATACATGTTCTGCTCCATTTGTGAAGCATTTATTTTTTTTGAAGCCATACAGAGACATATAAATTTAAAAAAAAGAAAATAAGATTTTCTGCTCCTCTGTTGGTGTTTCGAAGTTCAAGTTCATTTTTAAAACTATATTTGCAGTTGTTAACCACCTTGAGTGCGAAATTGTTCCAGATTCACGAACCAATAAATCTTCAGACCCATGTCTGATTTAATAGCCAAGTTATATTTAACAAGACCAACAAGAAATGCTGTTTTTTGCTAAATATTTTGCGGTCAATTCTTGGAAATTCATAATCGACACTGAAAAATTTACCTCTGGTAGTTTCTTGCACTTATTAAACTGTCTTCCAGTAGATCCACTAAGCAATATTGAGCCTGTCGTTTAATTTATCATCTAGTTTTATTTTTGTCAACAACAAGACTGTGATTATTATTGGTTACAATACCAAAATCATGCAATATCTTGCAAAACACTTGAGATAATAGCTGCGATTGCTCTTAATGAAAAGTATTTTTCATTGTAATGGGTGACTTAGTTTAAATTCTTATAATTCTTCATCAATGACTTATTCTATCATTCATTCGTCATCAGTGAACTTTTAAAGTTTTTGTCCAAAAAATAAAAACGTTAAGACTTTTTTTAAAACAAAATTATAAATTAGAATTTGTTTAGGTTTGTGTAATATATTTAGCTTTTTGGTCTCTTTTTGCACAAGATTTTAAAGCATATTTGGTACAACTTCAGCATCTCCAATGGTTCAAAATGCTTTATTCGAACCAAAAAAAATTTGCTTTTCAAAAACTTTCTCTCAAAACAATAAATAGTCTCAAAAAGAGTTGAGGTCGCAGGATTTTTTATGCAAAATTAAGAACCGTAGGAAATAAGGTTGAATCAGAAATTTGTAATTTATTTGCTTTGCGCTGCTGCTCTATATCTATTCAGTAGATGTAAAATAAATTTAGAATTTAGTTTAACAGTTTCTTTACAGTTCTTCTGTTCTTGTTTTAAATCAATATATGTTACGGGGCATCAATAAAGCACGTGCACTGTTAAACCACTGATTTATGAACTCCCTATCTTTTGTACGCACCTGTATGCATTTAACCGCAAAACGCATTATTTATTACAAAATCAACCATCTTCCTTTCGTTAAACATAAAATTTTCAAAAATATAAAAACAAAAAAATATGTTACATAACATAATATTAATTTTTTTAACTGGTAAAATTCAATGCTTTTGTTAAAAAAGTTTTATGGAGAGATGCAGAAAAAGAGAAAGTTAAATCGTGTACGTACTTATATTATATAGTCTTTGTACGTACTTACTTATATAGTCTGTCTTAACCCCCTCCTCCCTTAAAACGAGTTTGCACGTTTTTTGGTAAACCCGCCCCCCCCCCCACCCTCTCATCCTCCATCCCTGCAAACGTGCTTTATGAAAGACCACTTATAAAATAGTTCTTCAAAGATATTTATTTTTAATACAATGTATTATGCGTTATTGTACTTATATGTAATTTATATACTTATAAATTGTTTTATTTAATTTTATATTTACTTTTCTATTTTAAATTTACTTTTTAATTATCATAATCATTTTATATTACTATATTTTTATTTTGTTTACTTTTTTTAACTTTTTTTTTTTTTTTTTTGCAATGTGTTAAACTAGTTTTTAGACATTCTTGTTTTTTTTTATATATATATACAGATAGATAACAACGTCGTATCATGGACAATGGGATTAATCTTGAATAAAATACACGAACTTTCCCCCGCGAACCATTATATATCTAGAAGACTATCAAACGTTACGTTTTATAGCGCTATTACTGCAAGTCTTGTGGTTATTATCATAGGTTTAATAGTTATTTGTTATTATTATAAATTGAGGAAGACTAGTTACACACTAGAAACACAATCTTAATATATATATATGTATATATATATATATATATATATATATATATATATATATATATATATATATATATATATATATATATATATATATATATATATATATATACACCAATGCGTGTATAGGCGTTTTTGTATACAAAAAAAAATTAATTTAATAATATATTTGCTGATATCACTTAACGGTATTATTGATATTATTGATTTATTTCTTTTGTCCCTTAGAACAGGCTTGAGTCTGATTTCTCCTATATCGAGGGCTTGAAGTGGCTTATAAATTTTAATTTCAGCAAAATTCAGCTATTCACTTCAAACAGTTATCACAATTCTATTAATATTGTGGTGTACTCTTACAGAAATCTCTAACTCTAAGTGTTGTAGCTGTGGCGCAGTAGTTAGAGTTTAGGCTTAGAACATAAAGTTCCGTGGTTAGACGCTGGCTCTAGCAATTAACAACATTAATAAAAACGGTATGAACTTCCTTGTCAAATACTCTTCCGTGGTGCTTTGTGATAAGACCGTACGAACTTCTAGAATGTTAATACCTTAATAATCACAAAAAGTACCTTAATAACCACAAAACAAAACAGTCTTCTTGGATTATCGTTCACTAGAAGTCTCTCACAAAAGCTATATTTACAATCTATTGCAAGGTTAGCATCTGCTAAGGTTATATATCTCTTATGTATCTGTATAAAATACTATTGTCATCTCCTATCTTCTTGTTTTCCCGATACATATTCTTCCTAAAGAAACTTCCAAACCAAGGCTTTTTTTAAAATTGGGCAACAAAACAGTTGTTATACTTCATGGGTATTTACAAATAAATAGTTATTTATTTGTAAATATCTAAATAGTTATTTATTAGGATCAGTTGGATCCAAATTTAGTCAGCCCAACCCATTTATTATTGTTTGGGTCATTGTAGCATTTTAGTTGGTCACATGTAATTCTCGCATTAATGTATCGTTGTCTGCTCAGCAGATCAACGTTGACATCATTCTGAAAATTGAAAATGTTTTACCAGGTTGAAATTGTAAATGTATTATTACGTTGAAGTGTTGTTATTAATAAGCTGTATAAATTATGTTGGCCAACGTATTGTTACGGTTTGCATATCGATAAAACATAACTGTGTGCTCATCATATTGACGCGTAGTCTTTTTTTGCAAATACTCAACAAAATTTTTGAATTTCATTGAGCTTTTGCCATGAAATTCAAAAATTGACACAAAAATACCTGAGAGTCTGTTAAACATTTACGATAAACTTGTCTCTGTTAATTAATTTTATAACCAATCACTTCTTCAATGTCTTTACAATTAGGAACAACCAAATGATAAACAGGGTCGTAGAGCCAAACGGGTCACCGGGTCAAAAATTTTCACTGGCCTTTTTCTTTACAGTAATATTCATTTCCATATTGAAAACGTAACTTAAATTTAAAAAAAAAATCTACATATTAGGAGAATTTAATCTCAATTGCTTCGAATATCACGTCATAAAAAAAATTAAAATATTTTATAATGCTTTATATGAAATCGGATCCATTCCCCCAATTTAAAAACCAACTAGAATCACTCAACCAACAACATCTCGTATAGATAATATAATAACCAATGATTTATTTAATGAAACTATCCAAAAGGGCGTAGTTAAAAACGATATCTCAGATCATTTTCCGATATTCTTTTCGATTAATACTAATAATAAAACATTGCCACATACAAACCAATATCATATTTAACGTATTTTTAATGAAGCAAATTTAACATTAAGGAACAACTTTCTTTACAACATTGGAAACATATTAATATTCTAGATGATGTAAACTTAGTCTTCAACACTTTTTTTTTAAACATTCTTTGAAATATACAAATCAAATTTCCCACAAATAAAAATTAATTAAACCAAAAAACAACAAATCACCCTGGATTACCAAGGAACTAAGAAAATCTTCGAAAATTAAACAAAAACTCTATATTAAATATTTAAAATCAAAATCAGTTGAAAGTAACAATTTAAATAAACGAAGAGTTCTTGATTAATCAAGATAAGATAGCTACTGAACTAAGTAATTATTTTGTATTTGTTGGCCAAAACCAAGCCAAAAAAATTCATCCAACAAATACTTTGGAAAAATATCTTTCCTCCTCTCATCAGATCTTACAGGGTTATTCATTCTTATATGCGCGTCTATTCATTTTTATATGCGCCATTATTCATTTTTATATGCGCGTCTATTCATTTTTATATGCGCCATTATTCATTCTTATATGCGCATTTATTCATTTTTATATGCGCATTTATTCATTTTTATATGCGCCTTTATTCATTCTTCTATGCGTTTTACAGAAGCAGTTGTAAAAATGCAATTTGAACAAAAAAAAATCCTTTAAGCAATTTGTTTTGAAAAAACAGTTTAATTTCCAGGTAAACGAGGTTAAAAATACTTAAAACGAAGACTTTTTAAATTCGACGATGGTTTATTTAATTTAGTATTAGTTCTTTGTAATTTTATTATTTAATTTCTTGATTGATTAAGCTATTATTTATTTAATTATTCATTTATCTAGATTTAAATTTAATTGTTTATAATTATTATTAATATCAAATTATACATCCCTATAGGTGAAGTAGAAAATAGCAGTACCAATCGTAAAACAAGGGAAAATGTTACAAAAGAGCACATTAAAATGCTTAAGCGTTTAATTGAAAGAAATCAATCTACAACAAGCATTTCCACTTCTCTTAATTTATCAAAGCGCACAGTTCAAAATTTTGTCGTTAAGTTAAACAGAGGATAATTCGACGACATGACTGCATTCAAGTCGTTTTCTGATAAAAAACGAGGTAAAAGACCTATAAACTCTCAAATAAAAAATATCGAATTATGCGTACAAGAAAACAATCTTTGCACGCAAGAAGCAATAAAAAAAATTCATTCTGCAACAGGCTTCAACATGTCTCAGTCTACTATTTCAAGAAAACTCAAACGCTCAGATTTATCAAGAAAACGTGTTGTGCATGTGCCGAAGAACGAAACTCAACACCAGTTACTAATGCACGCTATGCATTTGCAAACGAAATAAACGGAACTTTAGATGAAAAACTTATTTATTTGGATGAAACTGGATTTAATGTGCACACTAACAGCACATATGGTTGTTTGCTAAAAGGTACCGCCAGCAATTTTACAGTCACCTGCAAATCGTGGTAAGAATGTTAGTTTAATTGGTACTGTTTCAACAATGGGAGTGCTTGCTTATGAAATAAAAACTGGAGGCTGGAATGCAGATTCATTTTGTACTTTTATAACTACAATGATGGTACCAACGATTAGGAATGAAAATGTTAAAGCGCCGGTGCTTGTTATGGACAATTGTAAATTCCACTGGAGTCTTTCTATTAGGCAAACACTAGCCTCTCATTGTATAGCTATTAAGTATTATATTACATGGTATAGCTATTAAGTATTACAGCTATTAAGTATTGATATTAATAATAATTATAAATAATTAAATTTAAATCTAGATAAATGAATAATTAGATAAATAATAACTTAATCAATCAAGAAATTTAATAATAAAATTACAAAGAACTAATACTAAATTAAATAAACTATCATCAAAAACAAAGAACTAATAAATAAATTAAATAAACCATCGTCGAATGTAAAAAGTCTTCGTTTTAAGTATTTTTAACCTCGTTTACCTGGAAATAAGAAGAATTTGTTTTGAAAAAATAAACTGTTTTTTCAAATCTAATTGCTTAAATGATTTTTTTTTTGTTCAAATTGCTTTTTTACAATTGCTTTTGTAAAACGCATATAAGAATGAATAAAGACGCATATAAAAATGAATAAAAGCGCATATAAGAATGAATAAATGCGCATATAAGAATGAGAAAATGCGCATATAAAAATGAATAAATGCGCATATAAGAATAAATAAAGGCGCATATAAAAATGAATAAAGGCGCATATAAGAATGAATAAAGGCGCATATAAGAATGAATAAAGGTGCATATAAAAATGAATAGACGCGCATATAAGAATGAATAACCCTGTAACTCCTTAACTAACTTAACATAGATCACATCACATCTTAACTCCTTTGAGCTAACTTTTGATGAATTTGAATGTGGTTTCAAATCGCTTAAACCTAACAAAGCCGTTGGCCATGATGATATCAATGGAAACATTTTTATTAAAGATATTTCATGTTCCATCAGACAAAGAATTTTTCCTAATCAATTATAAATAGCAAAGGTTATACCAATATTTAAATGAGGATATTTAACTAATATTAGCAAATACCGTCTTTCGATTTTCTCAAAAGTTTTAGAAAGAATATTTTATAATAGAATATATAATCACCGATTAAATAATAATCTCATTATTTATTATATTAAATAATCTCATACGGAAATGCAGTTATCCAACTTTCAAGAAGTATAACTGAATCATTTTAAAATTTCCAATATACTTTGGGAGTTTTCATAGATTTAGGAAAGGCATTTGATACCATAGATCATAAAATTCTTATAAAAAAGTTACAATATTTTGGAATAACTGGTAATGTTCTAAAATGGATTACAGACTATCTAAGTAATTGCAAGCAATATGTCTACGTTGATTCAAATTAGCATAGAAATTTGCTTGATATAACATGTGGAGTACCCCAGGGATCAATATTAGGACCCATACTATTTCTTATTTACATCAATGATCTCTATAAAGCCTTAAACTTAAAGCCTGAAACTTAATGATTATGTTCGCAGATGACACTAATCTATTTTCATCTCACAACAACATAAATTATCTATTTGAAAACATGAACAACAATCTAATTAAAATCTCTGATTGGTTCAAGTCAAATAAACTCTTAATATTGATAAAACCAACTGGATTTTTTTCCACTCTCATTTTAAAAAACACTTACCAAATGACATGCCTTTTCTTTTTATCGACAATACTCTAATAAAAAAAGTAAGCTTTACCAAATTTTTAGGCGTTAATG